AGGTATACGAGGCAAGTGTGCCACTTCGGGCCTGCTAGCACAGTGTCCATGACTCTCTGAAACGTTGCGGGCGCCGTGCACAGCCCAAACGGCATCACCTTGAACTCGTATAGACCGTCCGGGGTTATAAATGCAGTCTTCTCTCGGTCTCTCTCGTCCACTTCAAGTTGCCAGTAGCCGGTCTTCAGATCCATGGATGAGAAGTACTTGGCGTGGCAGAGGTGGTCGAGGGCGTCGTCGATTCGTGGCAGGGGGTACACGTCCTTTTTGGTGATTTTGTTTGGTCTCCGGTAGTCAACGAAGAATCTTAGAGTGCCATCTTTTTTCTTCACGAGTACAACCGGCGCAGCCCACGGACTTTTTGATGGCTGTATTATGTCGTCGCTGAGCATGTCATCAACTTGAGTCCAGATGGCTTCGCACTCGTGTGAAAAAACGCGGTACGGTGACTGTCTGGTAGGTCGGGCTCCATCTTCGGTTATTATCCGGTGCTTCGCCAAAGGTGTCTGACGTAACCTCGAGTTCGAGGAAAAACACTCGCTGTAGCGACGGAGCAACTCCAGTAATCTGTCCCGATTTTCTTGCGACAGCGCCGGGTTCACGTCGAAAGGATGTGGCAGCCTGGAAGCATCTGCGCGTGCGCGTTCAAAGGTAGCGACCACTATCACTTGACTCGCTTCTTGCGTTTCTTCGAGGAACGCAATTGCAGCGCCCTTGTTTAGATGCTGGTACTCCTCGGTAAAATTGGTGACCAAAACGTGCGATCTGCGTTGCTTAAACCGCGCAATGCCTCTTGCGACAGACACACCGCGGTCTAGAAGCAACCTTTGGTCAGTCTCCACGATAGCGTCGACGTCAGGAGCAGGACCTTCACAATTGATGGCGATCATCAAGCTTGCGCGGGGTGGCAGGGTGAAGTGATCGTCGGCGATTCTTACAGCAGCACGGTGTCCGAGGTTCGGCTGCGGCGTCGTGGAGTGATCGGAAGAAAACGTTATCGACCTGGTCTGCAGATCGATTATTGCGCCACTGTCCGTCAAAAAGTCCATTCCGAGAATTACGTCGCGGGAGCAGTTAGGCAAAACGACGAACTCCGCAGGGTACGTAGTGCCGTCTATGGTGACGCGCGATGTGCACATTCCACTTGGGGTCACGAGGTGGCCTCCTGCTGTGCGTATGTGCGGACCGTCCCATCTGGTCGTAACTTTCTTTAGCTTGGACGCGAATGACCCGCTCATGACCGAGTAGTCGGCTCCCGTGTCGATGAGGGCGACTACGTCAAGGCCGTCGATGGACAACTGGACGTCGGATGCCTCTTTCCTCGAATTTCGGGTGTGTCGGGGCGTCGTATCGCGGCTTGCACGTGTTGATGGTCGGGCACTATGCGTCGTCATCGTCGTCTTCTCAGCGGCAGGCTTCGTCATTTCGGGTACGCGTCGCGCAGCGTAGCTGTCGTCGTTTTCGGGGGTCTCGTCAGGGTGTTGTCGGGTCGTCGGGATGAGGGCATGTCGTGAGTCACGGTCTTGCGTCGTTGGAGGGTTTTCATTTTCTCGCCGTTGTGCAACTTCACCTCCAGAAGTTGCTGTTTTTAGTTTCCCCCTCGTGGGCTGGGGGACCTTCCACGGGCGAAGTCAGCATGGCTGCGACGGTTGGGGGATTAGTACGGGTAGGGCGACGGCGAATGGTTGAAACGGGATGGTCCACGGCTGGTGTTCGACAGGTATTCTTCGATCTCAAATGGGCGCTGGCCGGCTCGCGGGCGGGGTGCGTCGACGGAGAACCCACGCAAACCCAGCCTCTTGTACGGGCAGCGGCGGTAGACGTGGTCAGCCTCTCCGCAGTGGTAGCACAGCGGACGATTATCTGGCGTTCGCCACACCTCGGTCTTCCTGGGCGCCTGGTTTCGGGTTACAGGGGGTCGGGCGAGCTACATTGGGCGGCGGTACGGCGGGGCCTCTTGATAACGGGTTGGGACGGGTCGGGGTCGACGAGCAGCAGCAGAGTAGGTCATCGCTTGTGATTCGCAAGATGCTTCCGACGGCGTGGAATTCCCCAGTGCTTGCTGAACCTCCTCGCGGACGACGTCAGTGAGGGAGGCGACTTGGGGCTGCGGCGTTGCTGGGAACAATTTCCTCAGTTCCTCACGAACGACGGCGCGGATGGTCTCCCGCAAGTCTTCCGTCGCCAATCCAGGGGCGTTTACCGGGTTCACCGAAAGGGTGTTGAGTGGTCTATCGTATTGCCGCGAACGCATATCCAAAGTCTTCTCGATCGTCGAAGCCTCGGTGACGAACTCAGCGACGGTCTTAGGGGGGTTGCGGATGAGTCCAGTGAAGAGCTCTTGTTTAACTCCCCGCATCAGAAAGCGCACCTTCTTCTCTTCTGCCATTTCGGGGTCAGCTCTCCGGGACAGCATCTTCATCTCCTCAGCGAACAGTATAACACCTTCGTTAGGGTGTTGCATTCACGTCTCCAACAAAAGGGCGGCTCGTTCTTTCTGCACAACCGTAGCGAATGTTTTGAGGAATTCGCTCTTAAAGACAGTCCAGTCGGTTAGGGAGCCTTCATGGTTCTCAAACCACGTTCGAGCTGCATCCTCCAAATAAAAGAAGACATGACGAAAAGTTTCTTCGTCATCCCACCTGTTAAAGATGCGGATGCGCTCCAGCTTCTCCAGCCACTCTTCCGGGTCTTCACCAGGAGATCCTCGGAATGATGGGGGCTCACGAGGTTGTTGCAGAACGACGGGAGGGTTGGTAGCGCTGGTCATGGTGCCTGCGTTGATCATCGTGGTTTTTACGTCTTCTTTCCTTTTTTTACCTTGCTGTCGGCGGCTGACACGAGTTTTTTTTTATTTATTTATTTATTTTCAATACTGCCAGTCTCACTTGGAGACCAAAGCAGGTGGGCATACAGATAACAACGTGAGTGCAACAGAATACACGCAGTGCACAGTACAATGGCATGTCATACAAAGAAGTGTTCTCTCTAATACAACATTAGTATATACAACGGAAGAATCAAGGTTAATACAATCCAATGGAACACAAAGAAGCCATTAAAAAAGAATTTGCATGAATATGAAACCTTTTCCTTTCCCTTTTCATGGTTGGGGCTTATTTCCTATCGCGTCACAAAATATTGATGATGATTCTATGGCAGCTACTGTTGGGTCGAGGTTGTTCCACTCCCTAACTGCTGTAGGAAAAAATGAGTATTTAAACGTGTTGGAGTTGCAAAAGTATTCAGTTAACATTTTATCGTGTTTATTACGCGATATCCGGGATCTAGAGAAGGTGATATATTTGGAAGAAATTATGTTGAAGTGGTTGTGCAGAAGGCTATGCATGAATTTTAACCGAGCTTGTCTTGCTCTGCCTGCCAGTGTGTCTAAACCGGATGATGCTAGAAGTTCAGTGGGCGAGTCAGTACGTTTGTATTTGTTATGGATGAACCGTATCGCTTTTCTTTGAACTTTTTCTAGTTGATTTATGTTAGTAATATTGTGAGGGAACCAAACAGTGTTAGCATATTCCAGCACTGGCCGCACAAAGGTTGTGTAACTGAGGAGTTTGATAGGAGTGGGAGCAGACTTCAAGCACCTTTTAAGAAAGAATAACTTACGGATAGCTTTTGAGGATATGTTGGCAATGTGTTTGTTCCACTTGAGGTCGGTTGCTAGAGTAAGTCCTAGGTATTTGTGTTCATAAACTTTAGTTAGTTCAGTGTCGTTAAGTGAGTAAGTAAATTCTGACGGGTTCTTTTTTTTTTGTCACCGTCATTGACACAGATTTGCTGGTATTAATAGACATTTGCCATTGTTCACACCAGGTGTTTATCACGTTAAGTTGTCTGTTCAGGGTGTGGTGGTCTTCGTAACACAGTATTTCTTTATAGATAATGCAGTCGTCTGCGAACAGCTTTATGTTGCATTCCATGTTAGTGGTGATGTCATTAATATAAATTAAAAACAGCAAGGGCCCCAAGACCGAGCCCTGAGGTACACCAGATGAGATGGGAACAATGTCGGATGATGCTTCATTGAAATGGACGAATTGCGAACGCTGGGATAAAAAATCGCCAATCCAAGCAGAAATATTTCCGATGCCAATTATTGCCTCTAGTTTTGCTATTAACTTGTTGTGACACACGCGATCAAAAGCTTTGCTAAAGTCCAAGAATATAATGTCTGTTTGGCCGCGATTGTCAATTATCTGTGCAAGGTCATGAACAACTTCCGTTAATTGCGTCACTGTTGACATTCCGCGTCTAAACCCGTGCTGGCTGGGTGTTAATATGCGATTTTGTTCAAGATATACTGTCAGGTGTTTTGAAATTATATGTTCTAGGATCTTGCATGATGTACTGGTAAGGGATATGGGTCGATAGTTAGACGGAGAGTTTATGTCACCTGATTTATGAATTGGTATCACCTTTGCCTTCCTCCAGTCATTTGGCACACGTGCAGTTGATAGTGAAAAACGATAGATAATACCCAGGTATCTGCTGCACCATTCCGCGTATCGTTTCAGGAATTCATTTGGAACATTGTCAGGGCCGCTTGATTTTTTAGCATCTAATCCAAGTAGAAGGTTAAGGATTCCCGAGTCAGATATGATAAGTGGGTCGATGCTGGAGCCTGTAGAAACGACCGATGGAAGAAACCCGTTATCTGTAGTAAATACAGATTGAAAGTACTTGTTGAATACATCAGCCTGGACAGCATTTTCATCATGAGTGCGTTCTGGCGCCAAAGTATTGCGTGCACGAAAGTGATTCCAAAATCTCTGTGGATTATTTTTTAGGAAATCTGGTAGGATTGTATTAAAGTATTGTTTCCGTGACTGGTTCAACTTTTGTTTCAGCTCTTGCTTGGCACCTATCAGCTTAGATTTCACGACTGATTGACTTTCTGTATGTTTCAGTGAACGACGTAACCTTTTAACTTTCCTTTTGGCATGTATAACCTCGCGCGTTACCCATGGGCTGTATTTTCTTGGTTTCCTAGTTTTTAACGGTATAAATTTGGTAATGCAGTCATGTATTATGCCCTTAAACTTTATCCAGAGGACATTTATATCTGCCGACGGATCAGAAGCAAATTCTGAAAATGATGTGAACTCATGTGCCAGGGATGTCAAAACGCCAGCGTCGTTCGATTTCTCAAAGTCAATGATTTTGCTTTCAAAGGACCTTTTCGAAATAGAACATGATAATGGTAGGTGGCATATCGGGATATCGTGGTCGGATATTCCTTCAATAATGCCAGTTTGCAATGTATTTAGTTGAAAGTGATCACTAAGCAGTATTAGGTCAAGTATGTTGTTTGCAGTACCTTGTGAGCGCGTTGTTTGGCTAACTACTTGTTCCAGACTAAAATTTAGCATCAGATCAATCAGCGCTTCGGAAGCATGTGATGAATATTCCTTTGTGTTCCAATTAATGTCTGGTAAGTTAAAGTCCCCCATAATGATAATTCTTAGGCTTGGGGCGTGGTTCTGCAGAAACTCATGTATGTTCCTTACGCAATCTTCGTTCGAGTCAGGACTTCGGTAAACGCAGCCTGTAATTATGGCAGTGCTGTTGCAGATGATTCTGCAGAACACCGCCTCAGCTTCCTTCACATCTGGCAATTGTACGAATGGAAGGGATTTCTTTATCAACAGCGCCACACCACCACCACGTGACGGTCGGTCTTTTCGAATGATGCAATAATTTGGAGGCACTATTTCGTGATCTGAGATAGCCGGGGAAAGCCACGTCTCAGTTAACGCTACTATATCAGGGTTATGTGCAAGGAGTAGGTTTTCAAACGCTTCAGTCTTATTTAAAATGCTTCTGGCGTTTACATTTAGTAGTGTTAGTTCCTCGGCTGTGTTTTGCTTCGCGTGTTTGGACGTTTTGCTTCGGCGTTTTTTCTCAGCGGGACCCTCTCCCCCTTGCCCTCATCCCAGGTGAATACTTGATCATTTATGTAAAGTTTGTCCAATGACAAAGACACTTTGTCATGATGCTCCCGGTTTGCCTTTGCGCTATTCCACAGCAACCTTCTTATCTCTCGTGTTCTCTTACAGAAATCTTCCCCAATAGAGAGACCCGTATTTTTCAGCTTGCGTCCCTCCCGCAATATTATTGATTTCTGTCTAGAGTCAAGTAGCCTCAACATTACTGGTCTCGTTTTGTTCTGGGCCGGTTTTCCAAGACGATGAATTCGTTCTATGGTCACAGGCTGTAAGCCGAGTATGTCCTGAACAATGCCTTTATTTACAGCTTGTTCCAACTTTTCACTGTTCTCCTGTTCTGTTTCCGCTAAGCCGTATACTATAATATTGGACCTTCTACTCTGGTTTTCCAGGTCGTCCATTCGTTTTTCCAAATTTTTGGTAATCAGATGCATGTCTTCTATTTGTTTTACGCATGAAGTTATCTTCGGTTCAAGGCGCGACAGGGCATCTAACTTTTTATCCATATCAGCAAGCCGCCCCTCTTTAATTTCTTTGATATCGACGGCAACTTCCTTCAACTGCTTTGCGATTTGTGCTAGATCAGGTCCCGGATTACTTTCAATATCTCCTGCTAGCAAAAGAAGCTTTCTTAAAAATAGCAACACACTCGCAAATGCACAGCAAAGCCGAGGGCACGGCAGCACCAGCAAAAATGGGTCACCAGAACGTATACAGTAATCGTATTGTCTTCTTACCTGCACGATGAAGACAAACGGGTTAGTGACCGTCATTTCGCCGGTGCCGCCGTGCCCAATGGACGCACTGCGAGGAGGCAGGCTACTTATAGGCGCACTGTGAGGCGGCGCTGGGTGCTGGTGACGTAGATCATCACACGTGGTCCTGGTCACGGATCTGGGCTGGCAGTCCCAAGGCGCCGGGCATGTTATCTCCGTCACGTGGAAGTTGACGAAGCTTGTGTCCGGCGCGTACCCGGGCAATCGTGCTGGCATAGCACGTACATCACCCACGGATGCAAGAAGACCGATGGACAACTGCACGATGAAGACAAACGGGTTAGTGACCGTCATTTCGCCGGTGCCGCCGTGCCCAATGGACGCACTGCGAGGAGGCAGGCTACTTATAGGCGCACTGTGAGGCGGCGCTGGGTGCTGGTGACGTAGATCATCACACGTGGTCCTGGTCACGGATCTGGGCTGGCAGTCCCAAGGCGCCGGGCATGTTATCTCCGTCACGAGATCACATGCCCGGCGCCTTGGGCGTGCTTGTCGGCTTGGCAATGGCTTAGGGTTCATGTACCCCGCACCTCCACCAGATGTCACGCAGCAAAGGACGACGCAGTTGTCTATGAGGAAAACAAGTTTATTGGAGCGAACCTGTGCTCCCCTAACAACTGAAAAAATACAAAGGCGGCGAAGCAGCGGCCAGCAAAACGACGGGCACGCTAGTGAGCGTCGGCGATCGAATGACGCGGCATCGGCTGTGCGGGAATTTATATCCCTTGGCGCGAGCGTTTCTCGAATAGTCGAATTGTATCGAGAACGCCGTGATAGCGTTTGTTAGAAACACTGTTCGTTCGAACAGCGTTTCTAACAAACAACGCTTGAAGCGTTGTTTCTATCGAACAACACCTGAAGCGTTGTTCGATAGCGTTTGTTCGAAACGCTGTGGTAGCGTTTGTTCGAAACGCTGTGAAAACGGCGATAGCACAGGCCGGCGCAGCCAGGCCAAAAAAACAAAACACAAATAAACAAACCCAATGCATGGTTCGCGGCAATATACACACACATGTAAGTTTCTCACGTCTTTCTCGATGATGTAGTGGACGAACTTTCACTGAAGAGTCACGGTTTTACCGATGATTTCCCCTCAGGAGCTTCGCCCACTCATCATCATTCACCCCATGGATATGCTGTGATTTTTTTTAACGGTGCACATTAGGACTGGAATACCGAGGATAATAGCAGCGTTCGTCCTCGATGTGTGCTATGTTACAATTAGGGCTCCGTGCCTTCAGATAGATAAAAAAAGAATAAACTCACGCCTGTAAAATGTCTCACCATTCTGTTTTATCCATCAACTCCTGTTTTAACGCAACAGCGTTAAAGAGCTCGTTTCGCAGAAATTCCCGCATTGGTATCGGCTTCGGCGTCGTTGGTTGTGAGCAAAAATTATATTTGCCATTAAAGTATCGATAACGATTCAAATATACTAAATAACGAGAACTACTGGATCTGAGTGGGGATCAAAACCGGGTCATTTGGGTCCGAGTGGAAATTGAACATGCGTCATTTCAGTGTCAAGTGGATGTTCTACCGTATACGGCCAATTGTCTGCTTGTGAATACATTGAAAATTACTTCCTCTGCTTGGAAATGCAGTGAAAGTGACACATGATTTACAAACACACGAGCCTGGTATGCATGCTTCACAATGCAACTTGAAATATTACAGTAATAATGCGTGGTACAAGCGTTCATTGAAATTAGGCGTCAGAGCATGCGATTATCATAATTTGTTCGTGGTTTAAAGCCGGTAACCCACTTCAATACGCACACACGCTACTGCGCCTGTTTCCTTAAGGCTATGTAAAGGGTGCATAGCTAGTTCGAAAAGGTTTAATGCATCAAATTTTTGAAGTAAGAACTATAGTAACAGAAGATCGCTATCGCGTTGAACTCCTAAAGGCGAAGCTTTAGGATCCCTTTTTTTAAACGACCACTGTAATCTCGTTTCACTTTTACCAAATGAACATGATCTAAACCGTCATTGACACGTCAGCCGCAAGGGCGTGCAGAGATTTTTTTTTTTAGGGGGGGAGGGGGCAGCGGGCACTTCTTTGATATGGGCCTTTTAAGTGTGAATACACTTTATAAGCGACCCCAAACCATCCACCGCCGTCTGCGGCGTCTGCAGTCTTCTCTCTATCTTTAAAAGAAAGAGGACTTGGCGGGCCGCAGCACGACGCTCTACCGAATAAGCCACGGACGCGACGCTTATATCGGTGTCAGTAACGCCTCGCCACCCTGTTTACGAGGTGTCTCCTGACGGGAAGAGTACCAGAGTCTTGGAAGAACGCTAACATCATCTTAATACATAAAAAAGGAGATGACAAGGACTTGAAGAATTACAGGCCGATCAGCTTGCTCTCTGTAGTATACAAGCTATTTACAAAGGTAATTGCTAACAGAGTAAAGAAAACATTAGAATTCAATCAACCAAAGGAACAAGCAGGATTTCGAACAGGCTACTCAACAATTGACCACATTCATACTATCAATCAGGTAATAGAGAAATGCTCAGAGTATAACCAGCCCCTATACATAGCCTTCATAGATTACGAGAAGGCGTTTGATTCAGTAGAAATATCAGCCGTCATGCAAACACTGCGGAATCAGGGCGTAGATGAAGTATATATAAACATTCTGGAAGAAATCTACAGGGGATCAACTGCTACCATAGTGCTTCATAAAGAAAGCAACAGAATACCAATCAAGAAGGGTGTAAGGCAGGGGGACACAATTTCCCCAATGCTATTTACCGCGTGCTTACAGGAGGTTTTCAGAAGCCTAGAATGGGAGCAGTTAGGGATAAGAGTCAATGGAGAATACCTTAGTAACCTGCGCTTCGCCGATGACATTGCATTGCTGAGTAACTCGGGGGACGAATTGCAACTCATGATTACGGAGTTAGACAAGGAGAGCAGAAAGGTGGGTCTTAAAATTAATCTGCAGAAAACGAAAGTAATGTACAACAACCTCGGCAAGGAGCAGCGCTTCGAGATAGGTAATAGTGCACTTGAAGTTGTAAAAGACTATGTCTACTTAGGGCAGGTAATAACCGCAGAGCCGAACCACGAGATTGAAGTAACTAGAAGAATAAGAATGGGGTGGGGCACATTTGGCAAGCACTCTCAAATTATGACAGGTAGTTTGCCACTATCCCTCAAGAGGAAGGTATATAACAGCTGTATCTTGCCGGTACTTAGCTACGGAGCAGAAACCTGGAGACTTACAAAGAGGGTTCAGCTTAAATTGAGGACGACGCAGCGAGCAATGGAAAGAAAAATGGTAGGTGTAACCTTAAGAGACAAGAAGAGAGCAGAGTGGATTAGGGAACAAACGGGGGTTAAGGATATCATAGCTGAAATCAAGAAGAAGAAATGGACATGGGCAGGGCATGTAGCGCGTAGACAGGATAACCGCTGGTCATTAAGGGTAACTGACTGGATTCCCTGAGAAGGGAAGCGGGTTAGGGGGAGACAGAAGGTTAGGTGGGCAGATGAGATTAAGAAGTTTGTGGGTATAAATTGGCAGCAGCAAGCACAGGACCGGGTTAACTGGCGGAACATGGGAGAGGCCTTTGTCCTGCAGTGGACGTAGTCAGGCTGATGATGATGATGAACGCGCCTTATATCTTTAACGCCGCTGCGCGCGTCCCCCTCCTCCTTCGCTCGCTCCTCCACTCTCTTCGCTCGCTGCAGCTGCACACGCACCCCTCTCCCTTGTGCGTCCGCCTTCTCTCTCAGTCTCCCGTCGAGAGCGGGTCGTGCGATGGATGTCCCGGAGGCAACGCTACCATCAACAACGAATGCAGTACAACCGAATGCCAGCACTGCACCCGTCGTTGGAGGTGACGGTACCGCGGTGGTTTCGCCGACGTTGGAAGACAAGGCGGCGCTGCGAAGGGCTCGTGAGACCGAACGTAAGCGGGCGAAGCGTGCAGCGGATGCCGAACTGCGTGCTCGCGAGGCCGAGTGCAAGCGGGCGAAGCGTGCAGCGGATTACGAACTGCGTGCTCGCGAGGCCGAGGACAAGCGGGCGAAGCGTGCAGAGGATGCCGAACTTCGCGCTCGCGAGGCCGAGGACAAGCGGGCGAAGCGTGCAGCGGATGGTGAACTGCGCGCTCGCGAGGCCGAGATGAGGCGTCAGCATCGAGCCGCGAACGCGGCCCAAGAAGCGGAACGACAACGCAAGCGTCAGGCGGAGAAGGACGATGAAGGCCGGCGTCAAGACGCCGCTCGCAATCGTCAACGGCGAGTGGACGTTCCCGAAGCCGTTCGAGCCAGTGAACGTGCCACGCGGGAGAGGGTGCGAGCCCTGGACTTTGCTCGTCCAGACGCGCGTTTCAAACGCGACTTTGTGGATCGCAGCTTCGGTCACAGCTGCGCCGTGTGTGACCGGCTGTGGTTCGATAACAACCTGAGCTGCATTTCCGGCGTGAGGAACGAGACCAACAAGTTGAACGCGTTGCGGGTTCTTTGGAACGAGTTCGGAAGACGGTCGGGCGAGCACCGATGCGACGACATGGATGCGCAAGACCCGCGGCTGGCTCCCTTCGGTGCGTTCCGGGTGTGTGCGTCTTGCCGAGAGTCCCTGCTGGCCGGGCGGGTTCCGCCGTTGAGCAAGAGCCACGGCTACGCGTACCCGCCTCGTCCCGCGGACCTCCCCGATCTGAACCCGGTGGAAGAGCGCCTCATCTCGCCTCGACTCCCCTTCATGAGCATCAGGCGGCTCACGCGGGGCAACGGTCAGTACGGCATTAAGGGACAGATCGTGAACGTGCCCATCGACGTTCCGAGCGTGGTGGAGTGTCTTCCGCGGCTGGTTCCCGAGGACGTTGCGATAGACGTGCACGTGAAGCGGAGGCTGGTGAGTCCGGCTACGTACAGGCGCGGACTGGTGAAGCGCGGTAACATCTTGGCGTGGTTGAAGCACCTGGAGCATGCGCCGTTGTATGTCGCTAGCGGCGTGCGCATCGACTGGAGTCGGCTGGGTGTGATCAAAATGCGATTACCAGGAACCATTACACCATAAAGGCAGCATAGTGTGATTAATAAATATAATAGTGCGAATTAATAAATACCCCTCATAGCATGACCCCGTGGATTCGCACTTAACCATGTTCACCCTCGGGGAAATGCTTGGGAGTTTTTCGTCGAGTTTGCCATAGCGAAGAAAAAATTTGGGAAGTGGGGGGGGGGGTGGCACGGGCCTGATTTGGTGCCACGACATGGCTACGTCAACCCGTTTAGCCAATATAAACTTCACCTTAGCTTTGCGGTGATTCTATGAAATTTGGCTGATGGATCTTCTGGACTCTTTCGAATAAAGTGGCCGGTGGCACGCAGGATGCCAAGTACTAAATAACTATATAAAATAACTAAATAACATTTACCTCCACGTCTTTTCATG